ATAAAGCTATTAATGCTGTTGTTTATAGCTAATAATAATAGCGCCGTCCTTCAGATTTGGGAATAAGCTCTTTACATGGCTAAGTACTTGTGCTAGTCTGCATCCACTGTCACTTTCATTTCAAACTTTTTATAGTTTGAGACAAGCCCTGAGAACAACTTAGAACCGTTCTGAGGGTTAGGGATCTGGATTTAGTTGTACCTGAAGCCTAACTAATGCTGCTGTGGTGCAGAGAGTACTCAATCATCTGACACTTCATTTATGGTCCCAAGGCAATTAAGATATGTCCTTGGGCACTCCCATTAGTAGGGTTACAATACAGGATCTTAGAGATCACTAGTCCATTTTCCTCATTTCAGTAATGAGGAAATTGAAGCTCAGAAGAGTTAAGTGCTCAAGGTCACAAAAGTGGAAGAGCTAAATCAAATCAGGTATTCAAGGTCCAAATCCAGTATTTCTCTGTCTGTACTTCATGACCCACCCCCATGGTCAATAGTTACCTTATTGCAATTATGCTGTTAATTAATTTTCACTTCACCTTTTAACTTAGGTCCTGGAAATATTGAGAAAAACCAAGTTATTAAAGTGAGATGGAAGGTTGAACATCACTATTAGCGTTAATAACTAATGATTTTGTTGTATTTTGTCTTTACCTATTCCAAACACAAAGGAATTAGAGTGAATGATAAACTTCAAATCTTTGGAACTCTTAAAAGAAGAAATAATTTCTTGAACAATTAGAGAATAGAACTTAATAATTTTTTAAAGGCTAGAAGGGAACTCGGACCTTCTTGTCAAACTCGCTCTTTTACAGTTAAAGCTTATTGAGGATATGATTTGGCCAAGGTCAAGAATCTAGTTGTTATCCCAATTCAGACCATAACTTCACCGTTCTAAGAATTTATTTAATATTAATAAAAATGCAAAAATTGAACAATAATATAAAAAAGGTACTAATAATATCTTGAATGAAATAACCCAGTATGAATTGTTTTCCTGTTAGTAGAAGTCCCTGATCACTGTGTCTAGATTACAAGAACTCAAGGGAATTCAAAATTAAAAAAAAAAATTGAAAAGGAAGATGAGGGCTATTGCTTGATGAAAACAAGGATTCTAAGACTAGGGTTTTGTTTGTTTTTGAGAACTAGTGACTTTATTTTGTGTTGACAGATCTGTCTGAAGTGCCTACCAGTTATGCTGTTCTAGTGTGGAATTTATAGCAAATGTGGGAATTGTGACAGGATCACGAGTAGCCTCAGTAGCACGAGAAGAAGAGGTTGAGGTAGGATGAGCAGTGGAGAAAGGACATGTAAATTGAACCAGTAACAGAGAAATTGGCTTAGAAATATTGTTGCTTATGCTTCCTGGATTATATAGAGAGGGAAGATAAAGAAGGGTGAACACAAATTTCCTGAGAGAAGAAAAATCGATTTTTTTAAAAAGGACTATATAGTTTTATATGCATTAACTTTTAGATGTGCTATTTTGCTGTTCCTCTTATATGCAGTGAAAATTAGCTTTTTGGAAAGGTAATTTGTATAATAAAGAGCAGTTGCTTTTTTAAAAAAAGATTAGTGAGTACAATTATGATTACTGTAGAAGTTCCAAAAATAATTGGATAAATTATTAATGGAATGGAGCACGGGCTACTTTTTGCCCTTTTCCTAAAAATTGAAGAGTGAGTGAGAGAGTGTGTGTGTGTGTGTGTGTGTGTGTGTGTGTGTGTGTAAATATGCTTAAAATGTTCTAGTGTGACTATGGACAAGTGACTCAAACTCTGTACTCTAGACAAATCTCTAGTACTGTAAATTGCACAGAATGTACAAACCTTCGTTGGTGGAGGGAGTTTCCTCATCCAGAAGTTCCTGATACCAATAAAATAAAAGGTCTAGTTTTTATCCCTCTAGTAAGTATCTGAGCAAAATATTTACCAATAGATTATTTTATAGTTTTTAGGTATATTTTACCCATTGTATGGACCTGTGTGATAGTCTAACTCTGCTGGATATTATAATCAATCAGCAAGCAATTATTAAGCACCTTCTGAGAGACAAAAGAAAGACAAAAGTGAAAGTCCCTGTCCTGAAGAAACATATTTGATCCAGGTATATGCCAGGCACATATATAAGTAAATACAAAATAGAAGGTAACTTCATGGAGCATGACTGTAGTCATTGTAGGAGATTAGGAAAGATTTTTTTATAGGAGGTAGTATTTGAACAAAGCCTTGAAGTAAACTAGGAGAGAGTGCATTCCAGGTGTGAGGGACAGGGAAATGAAGGTATTGAATGTTGTTAGAGGAACAACAAGAAGGCCCAAGTGGCTAGACCACAGAGTTCAGGAAAGGGAGTAATTTATAATAAGCCTGATAGGTATAGGTTCGAGCCAAGATGTAAAGGGTTTTAAATGCCAAATAGGATTTTGTATATAACTTTGCAGGTAATAGGGAACTACTGGAGTTTGTTGAATGTCAGATCTTTGCTTTATGAATATTATTTTGGAGGGGTAGCTAGGTGGTGCAGTGGATAGAGCACTGACCCTGAAGTCATGAGGACCTGAGTTCAAATCCAGCCTCAGGCCAAACACTTGACACTTACTAGCTATGTGTCCCTGGGCAAGTCACTTAACCCCAATTACCTAAAAAAAAAAAAAAAAAGAATATTATTTTGGCAGCTCTATGGAGGATATATTGGAGAGGGCACCAGCAAAAAATAAGGTAGGCGGCCATTGCGGTAGGCCAAGTGAGAGATGATGAAGTCAAGAACTAGAATGGTAGCCATTTGAGTAGAGAGAAGGGACTGGATGAGAGAGCTCTTGTGGAGGTGGAATCTACAGGATTTGGCAGTTGATTGGGTGTGTAGGAGTTGAAGATGATTCCAAGGTTTTGAACCTAGGTAATTGGGAAAGTGTTGGTATGCACTGGAAAAACAGAACATTTGCATCCACAATTGTCTACATTTCACTTGAATGACCCATTGACATTAAAAATAGAGTATTCTCTTTCCTCCAAAACATTTTACTTTCTTTCTTCATTGTTTCTGGCTTTGGTACCATCATTTACTCAGTCTCTTGTGTTTGAAATATTGGGGTTATCTTTGATTCTTCTCTTTCCCCATTCCCCAACTAATCAGTTTCTAGGTCTTGTTTCCATGTAACATTTCTTGAATATTTACCCTTTTCTTTATCTTCTCACAGCTCTAGTATAAACTTTTATCAACCCTTAGGACTCGTTTTATTATCCTACTTGCCTTTTCATATGTCTTCCTGCCTTTACTACCTCTCCCCACCTCTTCCACCCTTCATCTGTCCTTCATACTGTTGGAAGAATAGTCTTTCTTATGAGAGGCAGGATGATAGAGCCTTGGAGTCATGAAGACCTTGATTCATTCATATCCTGCTTTTGTCATAGACTGGCTATGTGATCCTGGACAGGTCATTTAACTTTTCAACATTCCAGGCAATTCTTTTGGGACAGTAAATTATAGGATAGGTATTGATATGAAATAATAGAAGGAACATCCTTATTGGGATTTCCCTACATCCTCAGGTCTTTGTATTCCTTTCTTTCCTTGAAAATGCAGATATTTTAAAATTAGGGTGGGGTGAGGAGGCACAGCTAGTTGGCACAGTAGATAAAGCACTGGGCCTGGAGTCAGGAAGACTCATCTCCCTGAGTTCAAATCTGGCCTCAGAAGACACTCACTAGCAGAGTGACCCTGGGCAAGTCACTTAACCCTTTTTGCATCAGTTTCCTCATCAATAAAATGTGCTGGAGAAGGAAATGGCAAAGCACTCCAGTATCTTTGCCAGGAAAACGCCAAATGGGATCATGAAGAGTTGGACATTGAAACGACTGAACAGCAACAATGAATAACAAAGCATTTGGGAGAATTCTTTATAAAATCACAGTACAGCAAACTAATCATTTCCTGTGGGCTGAGCTCTAAGCTAGAATCTAGAGAAGATAGCAGTATTTAGATAATATACTCCCTGTCCCCAAGGATCATACAATCTCTTAGAGGAATGAGATACTAAGATAGAGAGCTATTATTATAGTAAATATTTTTCATAAACATTTTTCAGTACATTACTTGTCTTTAAAAATCTTTCATCATTGCACAATAATAATTTTTAGTTATATTTCTCCTTGATAATGTGAGTGCATGCATGTATGTGTGTGAGTGTGTGTAGGTATAGGTAGCTATAGCAATAACATTTTACCAAGTCACGAGAGAGAAATAATTCATTCTTTTCTTTAAGTTGCTTATAGGTCCTCTCTTGATGATTTGGAGAATTTTCTTGTGACTGTTGACTGCGTAGACTAGAAAAGTATATAACCTTTCAGAAATTTACTAAGATACTACCTTTTTTTGGTTACCTAAGAAAGTTGTAGGTAATAAAATGTGTATCCATAAGGTTTTCTGAAATGTTGACTGAAGCTTCCTTTAAATTCAGCTGTTTGAGAGAATATTAAGTTAATTGTCATATGCTGGATCACATTTTAAATGACTAAACCTGATTTAATGGAATTTTCAAGCAGTTTTCTTAGGATGGTGCCTCATACTTTCTTTTAGTCTGTGTTTGCCATTTAATCATTGTAGAGATTTCCTGGTGTGGAAATGTCTTCCCACACTACAGATAAGTAAGTCATCTGTAATGTAGTCTTACAGAGTTACCTGAGACAGAGCTTCAAGAAGTTGCTCATTGTCATACAGTTAGTATGTGTTAGGGGCAGTCCTTGAACCTAGCTTTTACAGATTCCAGGTTCAGCCTTCTATTTACTATGTTATGCTGTTTCTCTGCCTCCTTTCTATAGTAGGTGTTTAATCAATTTTCATTGAAACAATGAATGACATTCATATGTGTCTTTTAGAGCACATAAGGGTATTAAAATTTTGCCATTGTTAAAGTACATTCATATTTACCGATATTAAAATTTGGTAATGTGTTAACTTAAGTTTGTAATATATTAATTTCTTCTTCCCCTTTTTTTCTTGTAGGATATGTCCAAGGGATGAGTGACTTGCTTTCCCCTCTTTTGTATGTAATGGAAAATGAGGTGGATGCTTTTTGGTGCTTTGTGTCTTACATGGATCAAATGGTAAGAAAAAGATTTTCTTTACTTTGGACCTACCAATTGTAGCTTTAGTGATAGAATTTTCCTTATGTAGGTCTTTTTAATTTGTGGATTTAGATGGCTTGAAGAAATATTTGTATAAATTTTTTCCAGTTTTTTTTTCCCCCTTTCGTGGTCCCTCAAGACTTGGGAATGTTGACATTATTTTCTGTAATAGAAAAAAGTATTTTTAAGAATGTAAATAGCAGAAGGATCAGAATTTAATATAAGAAAGCATTCATATCTGTGCAAGAGTCATGGGCCTTTCTAGAATATTGATCAAATAAATGAATTTTTCCCATGCAGAATAGTTGATCTTGGTCTTTTTATCTACTTGAGACAAGGCTTAATCATACATTAAGTAATCGCTCTACTGCTCCTGATCATAGTATGACCTTGGGCTTTGTCATTGTAATAATTCTTCAACCTCTCTAATTTTTTCCTCTTGCGTTTTGCTTGTTTAACCACGCCCCTTTCTTTGTAATTCATTGATATTTTCCTCAGAAATGTATAATTATTAGCATGTATAGGACATTGTGCCTGTCTTCAACTTAAAACCATTTGAAACAGTGTAAGTTCCCAGAATAATGTAATTGGAGTATTAACAAGGAAATAAAGAGAATTCATCTAAAAATAGTGGATTCTAAGGGAAAAGATGAGAGCTTAGCACAGATAAGTAACAAGAGAAACAAAAATAGTTATTGACAGAATTGGAAATCTAGTGACCTGACTCAAGAGGAAGAAGAGGATGCTTAGAGGAGATTTTTGAAAAGGAAGGCAAGGTATAGAGAAAAGTAAGAAGCAAGAAGCAGGTATGTAGGTAGGTTTAGATCCTGTAAAAATTACACATGTATTTGTACTTTCATGTTTTTCTTCTTGTGCCTGTATTTGATGAATGAGAAGCACTCCTAGGCAGATTTAAACTATTTTCTCAAAGCAACCCTCAAATTTTCTTTTCTCCTCATTTTTTAATAATTTTTTATGTTTTCCCCATTTACATATAAAGACAATTTTTAACATTAACTTTGTAAAACTTTAGGTTCCAAATTTTCTCCATCCCTTCCTCCTTCACTTCCCCCCTCCCTAAGACAGTAAGCAATTTGTTATAGGTCATATGTGTTCAATCATGCAAAACATATTACCATGTTAATCATGTTGTAAAAGAAGACACAGACCCAGAGGGGAAAAAAAGCCCACATAAAATTAAAGAAAGTGAAAAATGGTATGTTTTGATCTTTATTCAAGATTTCATCAGTTCTTTCTTTGGAGGTGGATAGCATTTTTCATCATGAGTCCTTTGGAATTGTCTTAGATCATTGTATTGCTGAGAATAGCCAAGTCATTATTAATCATCATACAGTATTACTGTTACTATATACAATGGTCTCCTGGTTCTGCTCACTTCACATAAGTCTTCCCAGGTTTTTCGGAAACCATCCTGCTAGTCATTACTTATAGCACAATGATATTCCATTGCAGTCACATACCACAGCTTGTTCAGCCATTCCCCAATTGTTGGGCATCCCCTCAATTTCCAATTCTTTGCCATCAGAAAAAGAGCTGCTATACATATTTTCATGTAAATAGGTCCTTGCCCCTTTTTTTGATCTCTTTGACAAATCTCAAATTTTCATCATGTTGCATATGTTTTGGGTTGGGTGGTACATGAATAGCCTACTGAGCTATTTTTTAAAAAGAAATTCATTTTGAGGTGAGAAATATTTAGAGCAAGCAACAGCATTTCTCACTTTTTTACTCTACTGCTATCCTCTATAGTTTTTCTTAGTTTGTTTCCTTTTCATTTTTCCTGTTTCTTTGCTTCCTTTCCTTCTCTCATCTAGCTCTTCCTGTCTGTTGATTTATCTGGTCTCCACTTCTCAAGTAAACATAATCCATAATTTATTAAACTTTTAAAATGCTATTTTACTATTAAACTTGGGTACATTTAACTTTTGTTTCTCCTGGGCAAGAAATAATATGCTTTTGAATTATTTGAAGGCTAGTATTGTTTGCTTTAAAATTTTTTTAATTCATTAATTAATCAATATTGAATTAAATGAGCACTTTCATATATATAATAGAACAGAAAAAGAAGATCGTACATCTGTAAATCATTATATACAGCTTGCGTTTCTTTTAAAATCCAAAAAATTCCCCATGTAACTTTCAGAGCTTTTCTGCTTCTATGATTCTAGCCTTCCTTCTGTGCATTTTAAAAATACTTCAATGATCCTCTTTTCTTTCTTTGTTTCTTTTTTTTTTTAAGTAACCCCATCACTACCCCGCCCTTTTCTTCCTCCCTCCTCCCCCAATTTTCCCATTGGAAAAAAAAAAGGAAAGGGAAGTCCTTGTAACAAATGTGCATATAGTTAAGCCAAAAAAAAAAAATGAAACCCCCAAAAAACCCCAAAACCAAAACCCATATTGCCTGTGTCCAAAAAACATATGTCTCAAAAAACAAAAATGTATGTCTCATTCTTCACCTTGAGTCCTTCGCATGTAGTTTCATCATTGGTCCCTTGGCATCCTGATTTGGCATTGTATTGACATTTATGGTACAAATTGCTCTCCAGGGTTCTGTTTTACTTCACTCAGTATCAGTTTATGCAAATTTCCCCAGGTTTCTTTGAAACCTTTTCTTTTGTCTGAATTCTTTTCTAGAATATTTGAACCAGTTCATAGCTCCACCAATAGAGCGTTAGTGTGCCTGTCCTCCCATAGTCCTTCCAGCAATTGCCTTTTTCATCTTTTGTCATTTTTGCCATATGATGTATATGTAAGGTGTAATCTCAGAAGTGTTTTAATTTGTATTTCTTGTATTATTAGTAATTTGGAGCCTTTTTTTTTCCCAAACTTGATGTTGCTAGCTTGCATTTCTTCTTTTGAAAACTAACTATTCATATCTTTTGACCGTTTGTCTTTTGGAGAATGGGCTTATATTGTTCTTAATGATCCCCCTGTGGCTTGTAGTGATTACCTTTTCCTTTTCTAAACACTAACATATGGTGAAACTTAATTTTGCTATTATATACATCAATTTTATATGATGAAAGCTTATTATAATACTTTTCAAAGGATCTAAGGAATTGTTAAAATCTAAGAAATGCACCTAAGCAACTGTTCATTTGTATCAGTTTAATGTGGAGAAGTACTTAGAAGTTGATTTAAAAAAAAAACCCAACCCAAAAAAGAAGTTGATTTCATTTTACAATTTGAGATATAGAATGAAAGGAAATAATTTGGCAACTGTTTGTTTTCCTTAATGTTCCTATGTATAGTTGCGTGACACTTTTACCATTAAATTTCTTGTTCTTGATGGAAAGTATATGAATTATTCACTTCAGAGATGATGTCTCTGCATTTTGTTTTAGAAGAGAATAAAAGAAAAAAATTTGCCTTGCCAAGACAACCAAACCAAATTTTTTCCATCTTTGTAGGTTCTACTTTTAGAATTAAGTGTTCATCCCAGATATCAACAGAATAATGATAAGTCCATGTTTGAATTTATAAATGGCACTTTTGTAATATGTGATTATCTGGATGGTATAAAGTATTTATATCCTCCATGGAGCCATAATAATTCTTTCCTTTTAAAGCATCAGAATTTTGAAGAACAGATGCAGGGCATGAAGACACAGTTAATTCAGCTAAGTACCTTACTTCGCTTGCTGGATAGTGGATTTTGCAGTTACTTAGGTATGTTATGTGAATCAAAACTAATTCCTAATTTTAGTAGGTTGTTTACAAAAAACCGTTTAAGGAGCTCTTAAGAAAAAAAGACTGTAACAATTTTATAGACATTTTTGGAAAATGAATGACTGAAACTGAATCATCTTTTTATAACTGTAGTCTGGAAAAAATACAATGGTTCACTGAATGAAATGTGATTTTATATACATGTATGTATTTGTATACATATATGTATGTATTTGCACACAGGTACATTCATATGTGTGTACATGGGTATGCAACTGATTTTTTCCCCTTCATATTTAACCTGTGAGTTTTCATTATTTGATAATTACTAATGCATATTTAAACACAGTACTCTTTTAATAGCCTAGACTAAATATGTTGTAAGTTTCATAGATAGCTTTGAAATGTGTTACAGTATCACATATGCCACAATAGCATGCTTTTTGTTTTTAAAATATGTCTTTTTCCTTTCTTTTTAGAATCTCAAGACTCAGGATACCTTTATTTTTGTTTCCGTTGGCTTCTAATTAGATTCAAAAGGGAATTTAGCTTTCTAGATATTCTTCGATTATGGGAGGTAACAAACTGTATTTTATACTTACTGAATCTTCACTTCTGTTATCCAGAGAAACAAATTTTGTTCTGTAGAGTACAACTGGAATTTACTGGTGTTTTTGAATGTATTAAGGTTTTACATTTGCAGTCTTTCCTTCTATATCACTAGTCTGCCCATGGAAGTGCTAGGCTCAGAGTCTTCCAAGGTGTTTTGGAGTCCCTGGGAGTATATCAAAATCCATCAGAGACGGGAGAAGGGGAAGGTAGTGTCAGGTATACCTTGGAACCATCTCTTCTGACCAGGAGCTGCTAGAGCTGTGAACAAGTGCCTTGGGAGGGCTTCATCCCAAGAAGAAGTTTAGCAAATCTGGCATAGACCAGAGTACTTTGTACTCCAGAGTCCTTGGAGGCTTTGAAACAGATGAGCTTATGGGATAGTAGTGACACTCTAAGTCAGGGTGGCTGCTTGTTCAGCTGTGCACAGGAGACACCAAATGTAGATTAGTATGCTACATTAATGTACATTTTAAAAGAAGATTTTAAAATTCAGAGGATTAAAGTTTCTTACATTCATCTTTTTACACTGAACAAATGGCATAATGTCAGGTTATCTTTAAGTACACAGGCAAACCAAAAAGAGGCACAGAGGATGTCTTCAGCAAATAGTGAGAAAATTAAGTCCATTGTGAGAGTAGCAAAACAAACCTATCCACTTAATAATGCTATACTGTGGTGATGATGCCAACTATTTGTCCCAGGTATTCTTCATAAGTATTCTTTCCTGGTGGTCCTTGTGCCTTATGAGGAGAGAGGGCCATGTTCAGATTGAGAAGATTTTTATTGCTTTATACAGTTTTCAGATTGTTCTATGTTCTAGAATGAATTTCAGAAATAGAATCGATATGTTTTATAATTGGTATTATTTTTCATGTTTATCAATTCTTTTTCATGATTTATCAACTTTACTTCATTAAAAAAAGATTAAGGCTTATTAATATAAAGGAAGTACCACATATTGGAAATCTGCCTTAGCTAACTAGAATATTTTAAGTGAAAATTTTGAGATTAATTGCATTATAATTAAACTTTAAAATGGAATTTACTTTGAATGTTTCTCAACTCAGCTCAAAACTACTGAAGGTAGGAGGGAGCTGATGTCCTGAGCAGATGGCAGGGTTAAAAAGTTGTTGTTGGTTTTTTTTTGTTTTGTTTTGTTTTATGGTTGGGCAGACTTGAGCGTGTTTGTGGGAGACAAAGTACAGGAGAAAGGATGAGTTTAAAGATGAGAGAGGAGGAATAATTGCTGGGCTGTGCCCCCCAAAAGATGAGAGAACCTGGGAGTCAGAGTACAAGTTGAGGGGCCAGGCTTAGTAAGGACAAATGGCCAGTGATGTGAATAATTTTAATAATACTAGCTAGCATTTATAGAGCACCTTCATAGTGCCGGGCACTGTGCTGAGCGCTTTGATTATTATTTAATCTTCACAACAACCCTGGGTGCTGTTATCCTCATTTTATGGTTGAGGAAACTGAGGCAAATGGAAGTTGTGCATTTCCCAGGGTCTAAGTAAGTGTCTAAAGCCGTATTTGAACTCAGGCTTTCCTGACTCCAGGCCCAGCACTCTTATCTGCTGTTCCACCTAGCTAAAATAGTTACGCATGATTAAAAGAAATATCCTGTTTATTTAAAGTACATGGTTATTGTATGACTCTAGAAAATAGCTTTTTGAAGGTTATATTATTGAGCTGGTCTTAAGAATTATTTGTCCATATTCCAGTAGAGTTGCTACTCAAACGTACCCCTTAAGGTATGTTTCACCTTTGAACACCACTCCCTCTGAATATACTCTGGGGTAGATTACTCACTCTTTTTGTAATTTATGCTCTTAGAGAGCTGCCTGGGGTACTAAGAGGTTTCGTGACTTGCCAGTGACTTCACAGTCATTGTTTGTCCTCGACCTCAGAGTCTACACTGTCCGCTCATCATGCTGCATTTTGTTTCATTGCATGGGGTGGATTTTTAAATTTCTCTTCACCATTGGAAGCAAGGTACTGAACTGGACATACCATTCTGCAAGGTACAGCCATACCTATATACTCTTTCTCCTCTATAAAACTGTGATAATGAAATTCACATTCCCAAGCCTGTCTCTTGTAGGAGAAATAATTAAAATCAAGAATTTGAGGAGTCAGAAGAAATCTTGTAAAAGTAGCCTTAAAGCTTTGGCTTGGCCACACCCATAGGTCTTTTGAACTTTTTAAAGAATGTCAGTTTTATAGATTGGGAAAAATAAGTTGGTCAGACTTGGCTGTGTGGCATGACTTGAGGATGCTGTCTCTATTCAGAATACCAAAGCTTGATATTTTCTGAATTATTCTGATTTTCTTTAGTTCATTTACTTGATTACAAAGAGGCTCTTTCCACACTTCCCTGCTAATATCAGGGCTACTTGGAGAGGATCTTCTTGTGTTTAGCATTGTGATTAATATAAAGCATAACATTGTCTAATCAAAGAAATGTATCTTAGAAACTTTCTGAATAATTTAAACTTTTTTATTATTTTTATAGGTAATGTGGACTGAATTACCTTGTCAGAATTTCCATCTTCTTCTTTGCTGTGCTATTCTAGAATCTGAAAAGCAGCAAATCATAGAAAAGCATTATGGTTTTAATGAAATACTTAAGGTATGTGATAGTTTATTAAGATCAACACATTCTTGACTTTTAGTATTTAGTAGACTTCTTTGTTTCATTTTGGTGGCATTGACATACAGAACATTTTTGCAATGGAGTATAAATTAATTTCTTGAATGGCTTCAAGTTATAGTAATATCATATATCCATTGGCCCAAATTTAGGCCACATTCATTTCTCCAAATAAGTCTTATACAAAACCTGAATGGAGCTGATAATTGTGATCTACTCATCAGAGAGAGCCTCACTGGTTTTCCCAGCAGAAACAGGAGACAGAGTTTTTCTCCATCTCCTCCATGGTACCACCTCTTGGAAGAGCCTGGCTTGGATGCCTTTGCTTCTGGTGCTACAAAGAAAGGAAGACATATCACTTCCATAGGCATATAACTGTCTACATATACCCTTACCCAGAGATCATTAGCAATAGGGATCTAACTGCAAAACTCACAAAATCTTCAACCCTTCTTTCCTTCCTCAAATCTATAGATGACTGCCAGGTGTGAGTGGTTGTAGGGAGTCCTCAAGAATCCTTCACAGCAAGGAGTTTATGGGTTTGTCCTATGGCTGACTTCTCATTTAGATGATTGGATTTTAGAGTTGTAAAGGAACTTGGAGATCCCTTATAGATAGATGATCTTGGAGCTGCTTCTTAAACCTATAGGGTGACTTCCTACACCTTTGTATTAGGGTAGAGAAGTAGGCAAAACAGGAAAACTGCTGTGGTGGAGCCCTTGGGGTAGTGGGGCTTTGAAGCTTTGTAGGAAGCTGCTGTGTTACCCTCTTTAACATTGTTGCTGGTTTCTACCAGGCTTCTCTTCCTCCTTTTTCAAGGAATCTCTCAGTCCCTGTCTTCATTTTTATGGGATTTTAATACTCACATTGGTATCTTCTCCAGCACTCTGGCTTCCTAGTTCAGTAGCCCCAACTCCCATGACCTACACTTTCATTCTTTCTCAGTCATTCACAGGAGTGGTGACAGCTGAAACTTTGCTTTTAAAGAATAGCTCTAACCATGTCATTCACCTGCTCAGAAACCTTTCGTGGTTCTTTATTGGCTTGAGGATGATTTAGAACATTCTAGCTTAAACTTTAATAGCTTAAAATTACACTAAGATTTTTGGAGCACCCTATGTAGAATTTCCACAGCCTGACATTAAGATTCTTTAGAATCAATCTTAAACAAACCTCATTTCATACTATTCTCTTTTTTTCCAATTAGCAAGTATTTATTTTATCTCCCACCCTTACTCCCATAGAAAAGAAAAAAAAAGAAAAAACCCTTGGAACAAATATGCATAGTCAAGCAAAGTCAAAGCAAGACACCTTGTCTGTGTGTAAAACACTTCATGCTGTTCCCCTTCACCTATGCCGTGTACCCCACCAGACTGGACCATTGAATTTACATTTTTTGACATACTCCTTCCTACCTTTGTGCTTTTGAAATAAACTCAACCTAAGTCTTCCCCAGATTCCAATTCTTCTGCAGCTTCACCTTTCAGAATCCTCTGAGGCTTACCCTAGCTGTCAGCTCCTCCATGAAATCTTTTCTTATTTGTTATTGCCCTCTAGCTCCTCACTTTTTGTGTATGTACTTCTCTGTGCAAGTTGTATCCCTCCAGTGGAATGTAGAGCATATAAACTCCTTGACCGTTGTGGTTTTTGAAGTGGAATTTCTAGAGCCTGAAGGATTGCCTTGAACAAAGGAGGTGCTTTAATAATGGTTGATATAAAGAAGTCTTGGTTGATTTAAAGGAAAGGTTGATATAAAGAAAGTGACCCATTCTCAGCCTATTTGGAAGTTTTGGGCTCCACAGAATCCAAATGCAAAGCAGGATAGTGATGAGAAGTAATTACTTTTTAGTGTTTACTTATTCGCTTTTTTCATTTCAAAAAGATTTCATTTTAAGAATTTAACCCGTATTTGAATCAGTGCAGAAATTCTAGACTCAGGTGAGAGAATGCAACAAATACAAAATCAAAGAGAAAATTATGTTTAACAAAGAACGTATTACAAAATTTATCTAAATGAAAGAGCGGCTTCCTTTTCTTATAGGTTGTGCATTGGTTTGTACGGTTGCTGAACTTACTCCATAAACTTAAATGCTATTCTTTAGGATAAAAAGTTTAAGCATTTTTGTGGAAAGAATATTTGCATTAATTGAATACTTGGATGGCAAAAATTTTATCACCATTGAAATAAAACTGATAACATTTTGTGGTGGTATATTATGACATGTCTAATTTCTGATTGTAATTTTATTTTATGGATGCATTTTAGCATATCAATGAGTTGTCCATGAAAATTGATGTGGAAGATGTACTATGCAAGGCAGAAGCAATTTCTATACAGATGGCCAAATGCAAGGTATGCCATAGTAATTTTAAGAATTGGAAGAATTTGAGATGTGCAGCTAGAGAAGTTATTCCTTGAGGCAAAATAAATGATAGTTTTAGGAATGCCACGGAAAGCACTGACCAGCTTTTTGGCTACTATTATGGATTATCTCCCTTAGTTGAAAACATTTGCCAGCTAAGAAATAACACATACTAAAACAATGTAGCAAAACATTACTGAAAACATTTAAAGGGACTTGAGAGGCAACAAAAAAAAAAAATTTCACTAAGCCTTGATGAATTATCCAATTGAATTAGTAAATGCAGAGTAGGATATTCTATTAAGTTTGCACTAGTGAGAAATAGAGATGATAATCGGAAATAATTAAATGAATAGTATTTTGGTTCTTCTGTTAAGTTTACTAATTGGACTTTTAATCCATTTTACAAAGTAAAATTACTTTTTTTCCTTAAAAAGCAAAATTAATGCTTAGGAGGTTGAGTTCAAACCAAATCATTATTCTGTGTTGTGTTTTTGTCTAGAGCATTTCTTATAAGAGTTCTTGTTTTGTCATACTTTTTATTTCTTCAAGGATCTAAACATCAATTTTAATAGGTAAATAAAATAGCCTGCTAAAGCAGCTTTGAATGAAATATGCTTTTTTAAACATTACAAAAAATTACTCTTACAATTTTCTTCTTCTCTATATGACTATTAACTTTCATTATTTTTTTTTTCTACCTAGGAATTGCCTCAAGCAGTCTGTGAAATTTTGGGACTCCAGAATAGTGAAGTCACAACACCAGATTCAGACACTGGGGAAGATGAAAATGTTGGTGTGATTAGTTGTTCTACACCTGCATTTCAGAATAGCTCCTTGCCTTTAATTACTACCAATGGAACCAGAGATGACAACACGAGGCAGTTAGGGATGTCACAAAGTGTCAGCAGATTAACACCTGCATGATCAGTCTTCTTTACCTAATTTTTTAAGAGACGCTTTGCTGCGATTCTTTTTCAAGTACTTGAAAGGTGGATATTTATAATTTGAAGTTGATTATGCTTTAAGGTTTTTGGAAAGAAAGTGTACTGTGATGTTCTTGCATTAAAGCTTTACAAAGATTTAAACTAATTATTTTTGTAGTTACTTCTACCAAATAGCCTTTTCTTTTCAATAACATTCCTTAATATTTTTATAGCCAAGTGCATTTTCTTTTCTTCTTGATGAACTGGAATTGTATAATATTTAAAGTGGATGAGTCGGAAATTATGCACTTTTAAAAGCATTCACTTTGTTTACCCAGAAGTCTTGATGGTTTTTGGATTTGATGGAATTAAAATTAAAGCCTACGGTCAAGTTGAAAAGTAGCTTGTTTCCCAGTAGAGATGATTTGACTTAAAAAAAAAAAAAAAGGATTTGTTTCTTAACTGTTTACAAAAAATACTCTGCTTAAGTATTTGTGCTGATTGAATGTAGATTTGAATTGGACATTTTAAAATTCGATTTAATGTCCACATATTGAACTGTGTTTTTCCCCTAAGTGGAGGAACAGTATATTTTTACATGTTAACATCTCTTTACTTGTGCATATAAATACTACATATATGAGCACTTATTTATGAGTATTAAAAGGATAAGCATATTTTCATTATTCAACGATAAATTTGACTGTTGATTTGTACAAACTAATTTGACAAAATTAATCCATACCTTCAGTATGAGCTCTTTTTTCAAAACTATTTTCTTAACTAAAGATTTATTTCATGAAAATACATTTAATCCTGTTCCTGGTGTAATTTTAAAATTAATTGCTAGTAATCTAACTTTACTAATAATGTTTATTCTTTCCTAATAATGCATTAACTGATTAGTAAGCTCTTTAAATTTTTATGAAGGACTCCTGGGGGGGAAACCTTAAAATATGTATAAAACCTCAGATAGTAATCACATTTCTCATAATAATGCATTTTTTTTGTATATGACAAAGGCTGTTTGTTTATAACACACTATGTACTGCATGACTTTTTAAAGTTATGTGGAATTAACATAACTGATTCACTGTATTGTAATTTGTTAACTACTGTACATATTATGAAATAAACCTGAAGTTGATTTAGTGTTTTCAATGAAATCACACTTAAGGGGAAAGTCTCGTTAGTATGAAAAAAAAAGGGTCCAAGCTAGACTTCAGAGTATCTTAGCTTTTGTATGCTTGAAGTAATCTTCTGAATGAATTGTGAAAATGAGAAAGAAATTTGTCCTGTCACAACATAAAAATTTCTTTATCACCAGGTCCAGAACAGGCAATGGTGTTGACTATTAAGGAGATTATTATCTGGCCCTTCAAGGCGTCTTATTGAACCTGATGTTCACAATGTAAAAAGAAAAAAGTTTTTGACACAGTACTAAAATGAGCCAGAAGATAGATTATTTCAGGAAGTTGGGGAAGCTGAGTAAACTTTTTTCTCTAGTTGAATAGATGTTGAAAATCGTCACAGTGGAACCATTATGTTTTAGCTTTTAATATTACATGTGTGTTATCTTTTATCAGTTAATAATGAATAAGCCTATTCGGAGAAAAAGTCAACTGATCTAAAGCTCAACATCTCCAGTCTTTCATTTCCTGTTATCCAGGAAATTACTAGAACATCATGATGCCCTTCTTGTTCTTCCTGCCTGAATGTTAGCTTTTTCTGGAGGAAAGGGTGGCAGGGAGGGTAGTGGGTGGGTGGAGAATTTCCTATGCCATTTGACACCTACTTTGATTTTTACTCCTTTGCAAGTTGAAGTTTGATAAAATTAATGGCATTTAAAAAAAATATAAACTTTTTTATTTAAACCCCTTTTTAACTAAATATGCTGTCATTTTTCATATAAAAAGTTATTAAAGTTGTTTAGTAGGCTCTGACTAAGACTATGTCAAACACAGCAAAAATCAAAGTGGAGAGTAAACATTTTGTCATCTTGAATTGCATAGAAAGACAAAACAGAATCAGGTGGATTCTGAGTCTGAGTTATTTTTTGGAATGGTCAGCTAATATTGTGATATATAGGCACATGCTTAAGGGGGTCTGAATGGCAAAACGAAAAAAATTCTGGATTAAGACTTAGAAAATCTAGCCTCTCTTTCAGTCCTGGCCCTTTCACTGGCCAAATATGTAGCTGTAGGCTTTTTTTTTGTTTTTGTTTTTTTTTTTTGCTAGGCATTGGGGTTAAGTGACTTGCCCAGGGTCACACAGCTAATAAGTGTCAAATGTCTGAGACTGGATTTGAACTCCTGACTCCAGGGCCAGTGCTCTATCCACTGTGCAACCTGGTTGCCCTATAACTGTAGGCATTTTGTTAGTCTGACCTCTAGCCTCCTCATCAGGAAATAATAACGACTTTCTTGTCCACCTCACCAGGTTATAGTGACATTGAAATGAGATGATGCTTGTGAAAACCCTTTGAAAACCTCAAAACACCATATAGATATGACAGATCAGAAGATATTCTCAATTGAATCAGTTGAAGACAGGACTTTTAGTATTATGAAATAGTCTGCCAAAAGACTTCTACAATTAAGGTCAAATACTTAGGAGAAATAATCCTAGAGAGCCAAAGTAGGCTATTATTTTGGGACTATCTAGTTCATTTGACTTCTTTTGAAGTTCTAAGTATGTTCTCGAGTGGCTGGAAAGCTGCTTTACTTCTAGGATCTACATTTTAATGGTTTAATAATTGTTATGTGTTTCACGTCTTAAAATTTTTCACTTTAAGAGCAGAAAGCCTAGGGACTTGTCCCATAGTGACATGACAAAATTTTCCCGTTTTAAATAGTGTAATCAATGTGGATTGAAGATAAACAATTAAAGATGTGTAGGGGTGATCACAACAGAAATCAAAGCTAACAAAACTTTTCAGGAAAACAAGAAGTTACTAGCTACCAAAACCTTGAACAGGATTTTAAGAAAAGGTGGTGATCCCTGTTAAACTTGGCATTTCCAGAGTATTTGGTAGATACTAACTAATCTCAGACTGTAAAGTACACATTAGAGTTAGAGGGAGGTAATTATTCCAAACTTCGTGTAAACTTGGAGAAGATAATATTATCATCTTCAACCTGTTGTATCTAAAATGGGGGGTGGGGTGAGGGTGGAAAGCAAAACTTTTTTTTTCCCTGCTCTCTACACTTAACCTGCTGTTTTCTTTGTGCCATTGAACACACATACAGTCAATAAGCACTTAATGACTGTGCCCCGCACTGTGCTAAAGCACTTTGGATACAGAAAGAGGCAAAAGACACTTCCTAAGTAAGAACGACAAAGTGAGGTATTTGATCAGCTAGCTTAACCGTCCCAGGTAACTTGGGATATCTTACCTGTCTTTTTTTCATTTGTTATGTTAAGGAAAATAGAAAGTATGACAAGAAGAGGATTCTACTGTATTCCAATTAGGATCCACGAGCAGTAATTTTTTTAAGTGAAAGATTTGTGCAGTAAAACTAGAAAGCTATTTTAATACCCTATTTGTTAATAAAATCCTGATTGAGAACTGGAAGGAGCCATCTAGTCTGATTCCTCTTAATTTAAAGATAAACGAAGACCTACATTAAGTGATTTACACGAAGTCACAGCCGGTTTATATGGTTGGAACCCACTTCTGATTCCAAGTTCATCCCCTTTCCATTGGACCACACTCTCTACCTTTTTTACTGTGACAATCCAATAAAAGAATCATTATTTGAGGGACAAAAACTAGTTGTTAGCAAATTAGAGTTTATTAGCACAATCTTGCAGAAACCCAGATCACCAGTAGCTATGTTGTTAGGTTGTACTGGGAAAAATGTCATTCCTGGGCATTACTTACTCACCCTAGGCCTGATAAATGGTGCTCTAGTAGCAAGAAAGAAGTACAGTGATAACATGTTAACATGGATTTAGAATCAAACCATTGTGTCATGGACTTAGAAGGAAAAAGAGTAGATATGACTTAATGAAGATATGACATAATAGATATGACATAATAAATATGGATATTAAGATCTTTCAGACAGCCGTCTGTAAACAAGTCTTTCCTGTTCAGAATTAAAACCTATATGTTTTATAGCAAAAGACTGATACATTTATTAAATACACAAGAGAAAATTGTAGAAGCACATTTGTTAAGCTAGTGGCTTCACTGTAAAAAAAAATTGCTGATGGTTTTAAATGAATAAATTTCACTGCAGAATACATTAACATGTTGTTTCTAGGAAATAGCTTTTAAGAAAAAGTGTGTTAAAATTAGTTAAGGTGATCATAAGTACCACTGAATCAGTTCCTGCAGGGATCAAGAAGAAGAGTTCCTCAGGATAAATAGGACATTTCAGGAGTCCTTATGAGAGGGCCTTCTGCAAAATCCTGCTTGTGGGGCCAAGGTTTCAAACAGTTTTGGGGATGATGATTAGAGGCATGAAATGAGCACATACAGTGCTCACAGAAAGCTGAGATAATAGGAAGATAGGTGGTGAGTGAAGGTGCAATGCATCTCTGAAGTATTTGGTGTGAGCTACCTAAGCTGTGCTGATAAAAGGGAAAGTTGAGGCATATAAGCTGTGATTTTGAATGGCATACCCATAAGGTGGCTAGAATTTGGGATTACTTACCTGAGTGTGTGAGAGTTGTGCCAAGATACTGCTGATAAGAGCTTTTTTCCTACTCCCTTCTTTTCCTTTCTAAGGAAGATACTAGTTTCTTTAAGCACGTTTGTCATTTAGTTCATAGCATTAATTTCTACTGTTGCCCTTCTTAAGAAATTTCAAGATAAATAATTGTTTTTCCTTCCCCTATACTTATATAAATAAGCAAAACTTTTGAGTAAAGCTTGAAATAGGCCAGTTAGTAAAGAATCCACCATGTGGATCAAACTGGTAACAGCAATAAGAAATGCCCATTGGTATTTAAGTGGAGCACACGAAGTACATCAAAAGGAATTGCTTGGGGGAGGGCAAAGAAAAGGGAGAAAAGAAAGAGAAAATAGAAAAGTTGAATAGATGATTTTCCCCCTAGCTCTTCAGAAGATTAACAGATTGAAAATGGAATTGATTGAAGTCACTGAAACAAAGAATTGAGCTTAATTTTATTTGCCTCTACATTTGCAAAATTGATTGATTTGTGGTGATACTGTTTTGAGCTAAAGGATAAGCATGCCCAACAAGAAGTAACAGAAACTCTAAAGTAAAACACTGACCCCCACCTCCCCTCCTCTCACTAGCCCCAGAAAAACTGCCCCAGGTATTAGATATGTGTGAGTCAGCACCCATTTGTAACCTACTCTATTGATTATTTCCATTTTACCCTCCAGCCAGGGTATACACACAGAAAAGATATGATTAGGATATATTTAGGTAGGGCCTACATATAAGGAGCATGCATGGTCAGAAAAAAAGTGGGAAGGAAACATGTATGGAGGACACATATGTAGGGAGATAAATGGCCAGGGCTCATACATGGCTGGTGCAGTTTCTACCTCTAACACTTCAGAGCTGCCTGCCATCCACTGTTAATCAGCCAACCCTATATCTGCTTCTATTGAACATTCTGCTTCCACTTTCTACTAGGCAACACTACCTCTGTTGTTTATTGGATGGTGGGCATCTTTTCTGGTCATGTGGTTGCTAAGCTTCTCTTTCCTGCAATCTTCTTGGTCTCTGGTTTTCAGAGCTATCTGCTCCTCTCTCTCCTCCTGTCTACTAGGTAACAGTAGCTAGAAAGCCTTTCCTTGACAAGGACAGGCTAAAACCGTATTAGTGCATGGTCATGGCTATCAGTCACCGTATCCAGTCAGGCAACCAACAAAAGCCAACAATATCCCAGGGGTTTAAGATTGAGGCTATTCTTTTGACTGTCTTGATTTGGTGCTGACTCTGTGTCCTTGGTCTCAGGAAATTATCTGACTTGGAGTTAGAAAATTCCTTGATATTCACAATCCCTGATTGTGAGCTGGTGTCCCCTGAATCCATTTTGGGGGCCTCTCTCCCACTACTCTTCCCAACCTCCCCCGGTCCTACCCTGCCCTGCCAACTCCCTGACATGCAAATGAAACCAGGGAGAAGAACAAAGCTAGCTGAAGCCAGTCTAAATTCCTGTATTATTATGCATA